CTGTCCCACTTGGTTTTCCACACTTTTTTCCTAAACGCTTGCAGATATTGAGCTGATTTTTGGTATGTGAGTGTACCTTGATGAGTTACAGATCAAGTTTGCATTTCGTTCCGCTTCATTGATTTTTGACAGAATTACGGCCTTTTCAATTTTTAGGGGTTTTCCGCAATTTTCTTCTTAACGCTTGTAGATATTGAGCTGATTTTTGGTTTGTGACTTTACCTTTATCAGTTATAGATCAAGTTTGCATTACGTCCCGCTTCATTAATTTTTGACGGAATTATGGCATTTTCAATTCTTAACGGGAACCAGATTACACTTGCCGGTAGGGGACTAGTATTGCTAATGCAATACTCTCAGAATGCTTGTTGATATAGATATGAATCCAGCTTGATATCGATAGAATAAAACATTGCATTTTGTATCATTAAATATATTATACATGTTTGGCAGTGTTTCATTTGAATCGTCAATTAAGGAAATAGAAAAAGTACAAATTTAATGCTTCAATCTTATCAAAGTCGGAAAAATCCACTTGTCTTAAACCGTTATCATTAAATATTGTATTGATGATACTAGTATTTCGTTTGATTTATCATATTATCAACTTCTAATGTAACTTATTAGTATTTTTGCTTTATCTTTATATTGTCGTACAAGTTTGGTATCGCATGATATATATATATATATATATATATATATATATATATATATATATATATATATATATATATATATATATATATATATATATATATATATATATATATATATATATATATATATATATATATAAACTGAATTTCTGACCCTTCTATCTGCGGACCAATCAGCATCATTTTTAGTTTTAGTGCTTTTGTGACCAATCAGCATCATTTTTAGTTTTAGTGCTTTTGTTACGAAGTGGGTATCTAAATAATGTAAGCGTGCAGTTTTGTTAACCCAAAAATGAACAAATTAAATATACCAACATTGAATTCTGTGCTTTCAGAGAATAACCTGAAATGTTGAAAAGTTCTGACTCATATTACCAAGATTAAACTTGAACTATTATGAACTCTTTTCAACTGAATAGTTACCTGAATGTTTGCGTCTAGATAATTTTCCCCAACCCTTTCTGCAAGATTAAACATATTGTTTAAATTTCTTTCCAAATCAGACTATAAAATTTGAACGTCTTTGTAAATATTTATTTAATATTAAGCACTTTGAATAGTATAGGTTTAAAAAAAAAAAAAGATTGGTATATCAATATTTACATCTTTATAAACCAAGTTACTGGATTGCGGAAGCGAAATACTGAGGAGTATACAAGTATATAATTATAGCATTATAACTTACAGTCTTTTATGAAAAGTATGGATATAACAAACAGTATTCAAGTTCAAAAGTCCATTAAACAATACAAATTTTGGAGCAGAGCAAACATGGACCTCTAAAACATCAGAGGTGGGATCAGGTGCCATGGAGGAATGAGCATCCCCTGCCGACCGGTCATGCCCGCCGTGTGTTCCTTGTCGTGATCGGGAAATAACGGAAAAATCTGTCGACAATTCAGTGTGTAAATAATGGCCTGCCAATAAGTATGCAAAACGTCAGTCAGCATTTGACTCAGTGATAAATTGTATTTGCTGACAAGGTCATTGTATCGACCATAGAACTTACGAAATGACGACTTTAAACGAGACTGCTCATATTCTTGTTTCATCGACTTGTTTGTCAATAACTTACTTCGTTGAAGAAATTGTTCATACGTAGAGCATGCTCTTGCTATCGAATCAACTGAGAAATATAAACCCCATATGCAGGTGATGTAGGTATATTGCAGCATAAGTAAGGCAAATTGACAATTGAAAAGTTAAAGTCATCATGTTTATCATAAAGCTTGGTTGTTAGATTACCATTAATGTCGTTAGAAAATATCCAAATATGAAACAGATGTGTCAGACTCTGCGGTATCTTTTATTTCAAGCTCACTGGGATATATCGTATCGACATAAGAATGGAAATAACCATTGTTAATTGACAATACGTTGTCGATATATCTGAATGTCGAGTTGAAGGCCACAGCAAGTGTTTTCTTCTTTTCACGTAAAAGATTTTGAACAAATTCTGCTTTACATGAATACAAAAATAGGTCTGCTAATAATGGGGCGCAATTGGTACCCATGGGAATTCCAATAGATTGTGGAAGACCTGGTCTTCAAAAACCATATAGAAATTGTCAATCAGAAACTCAAGTATCTTTTTAAATTCAAACATGTTATTCATTTTGTATGAATTTGTCTGAAAAGCCATTTAAAGGCAGAAAGCGCTTACAATTAAAATGATTTTACGAGTCTTGTGAATCTTCAAAAAAAGGGGAAAATTTATATATATATATATATATATATATATATATATATATATATATATATATATATATATATATATATATATATATATATATATATATATATATATACACATACATATATATATATATATACATACATATATATATATATATATATATATATATATATATATATATATATATATATATATATATATATATATATATATATATATATATATATATATATATTCATACTGGCTTGGTAAAATACATGAATGCCAAAAAATCACACGTACCCTGTTTTAGAATAGGTATAGTACAATACAGTATATAGCCATAAGTCAGTCATAATTTTATTTTTACACTATATACTTCATTGAAAAACCAATTTTTATAAAAACTTATTGTGAGGTCAATTTTAGCTCAATTTCCATGATTTTTTTCCAAATCATGCAGAATTGTTCAAACTTTCTTGTCTTATAATGCTTAACAAAATTATACACTAATCATTGAGAATGATTTATTAAATCGTCAAGACAAAAATTACTAACCTCAAATTACTATGATTTCTTAACAAATTAGAGATGTAAATTTTTAATTCGCATTTGACGTGTGATATTACCGCAGTGCTTACAGATAAAATTATTTTGAAATTATAAAAAGAAACTGCGAAAAATTCTACATTTTATGGTGTTTTAGTCATAAAAAAATGATCAACAATAACATTGCAATAATATTTTAGAAAAATGGATTTTTAAATGAAATATATAGAGGTAAAATAAAATTATGACTCACTTATGGCCAGGTACTGTACCTGTTATTCATATATCTGTTTGTATATATTCATATATCTGTTTGTAGCTTTTGCCATTAAGTACAACACGAACAAATTGTCAAATATATGAATATTTTTTAAAAAATAATATGAATTATGAAAACAAATCAAGGAATACAAAACAAATCAGGCTTTAAATAACCTAAAAGAAGCAATACACAACGTAATACTGAAAATGATTTCAATATTGTTCAAAATTAACAACCAAACACATTATATACTGATAGCTATTAAGTTAAAATTTTCATACCGGGAGCTCTAATAAAATGACTAATCGGGGTTACCACTCTCTAACTATAAATTGTGAGCACTTATATTTTGTATTGCTACTAAGTACAGTTGTTTTGGCTTCCCGAAATCTTAATGGAAATTTGACATGAATGAGAATGTAATATACACTGTACATGTTTAGAGCAGAATTTACATGAGCAGATCAATCATCAGGTCATAAGGCAATTATTTTTTTAAAACCTAGTTATAAGAAAAATCAACACATAGTGACATAACATAAAATATGGATTATGTACAAATAATTAATAGTAGCACAAAAAGGAATAAATGACAATTAAAACTTTCAAAAGTAAAACTCTTGGACGAGAGGGTTTAATGATAAATGAGTTATTTGAAACCAGTCGGGTTTGTTATCGTGTCATTTTTCCCTGAAACTGGAGCCGTGCCTGGGAAAGTATCTTTAACTCTTTGATTGCAATTGGTCTCTGGCTCGCCGCTGGTTGTCACATACCTAATGACAAACACCATATTGGTGTCTTAATAAGGTATACGTAAAAGGCGAAGATAAAGAACAGAAATACAGTGGATAAAAAACAGCTTATGATCAACATTACAACTTATACTGCCTTACTTTTATAAAGACAAAACCTTTAATTTTTAACAATGGCAAAATCAAATATTTGAGTTGTATTAAAGTATTATATAACAAAAAATCACAACATCTCTGGATTTTAATAAATAAAATTTCAATTGTTTTTATTTTCCATTACTATTATCATTTGCTAAAAAGTTTTATCACAGTTTTAAAAATACACAACTTAGATTCCCAATTATAGTAAAAAAATAAATGAAAACATTTGGCACTCAAAAAATCCTCATGCATAATGGGTCAGGGATTCTGTAAAATTATATAACCAAAGGTTTATAAATTAACATAGAACATGCTGATTTTTAAAATCATATATTGAATGATTTACAAATAAATAAAATGAACACCAAAAAAATTAATAAATATGACTGGCTTCGTAAAAGAATCACATGTACCCTGTTAGAAATGAAGTTTATCGGGTTATAACCTCTGCCATAAAGAAGAATACGATCAACTGACTAATTATCGTACATATAATTGTAAAGTTTAAAGCAATATGAAAATAATGGTAATAAATAACAATGATAAATAAACAACGAAACAAATCGGCTTAAAACAACCTTTTACAATTATATACATAACAGAATATTAAATCGACTTCAAAACTATTCGAAATAAACCATTCGAATACTATTAATACCATATGATAGCTACATGTATTAAGCTTCTATCTTCAAAGAGTGAATATTTCTTTAATAAAATGACTTATCAGGGTTATCCTCCCTATTATAAGTGTGAGCACTTATATTTTCTATTGCTACTTAGTACATATGTTTTTACTTCCCGAAAACTGAATAGAAATTTGACATGATTGACAAAGTAATATTTATAGGTTTGAATTGGCTTGAATCTAGTTATTACAAGAATCAACAAATGTACACTTTACATAAAAAAAATTTGCATTTTATATGTACAGTTGAAAAGTTTGTAGTTTGTAAATGACTACATAAAACAACTTTCAGAATAAAACTTCAACAAGAGCGACCTAAATGTTCAATAGGTTATTTGAAACCAGTCGGGTTTATTATCCTCAAGATTCTTGTGGTAATTTTTACCGGAAACTAGAACCGTGCTTGGGAAGGTGCGTGGTCTTTCTGGGTCTTGGATTGGTCTGGCGCTTGTAGCCACGTACCTAATGACGAAACCACATCGGCGTCTTGATGACGTATTCGGCTCACTTCCATGTATGAGCAGCCCATCGTGGATAGACATTTGCCCAGCTCTGACAGGACATGGTTGAGCTAATTTCACATCAACCAGTTGGATAGGAATTGATTGGTTTGAACTAAGCAGATTTCCTCCAACGATACAATTCTCATGTTCTACAAGACCATTCTTATGAGTTCCTAATTAGAAAGATAATATTATTATCATTTAATGTAATATAAAAGATGCTGCTTCCTTATAGAATATGAAATTTAAGTTGTCCTTCGTTAGAAAGGAAATGATATTACCTGGGATGACTATCATGCATCCATTCTCCACATCTGCATCATCCACAGCGAGCCAAGCAGTAACAACTCTACCCTCAATTCCCCAGTATCTGTAAAGAATCATATTTTTTTCAGACAAATAGTCGATTTTGGAACGTCAGCCTTTTCCTCACAGAGTTTATTTCTTGATACATAATTTTCATTCAATAATGCAGAAAAAAATAGTTCGATTCGTCGTTCCTGCAACATCCATGATTAATTTATACAATTTTCTCTTGATGTGAAGACATCGTCATCATAGTAACCATAGACCAGATTAAAAAAGCTGAAATGACACATGTCAACAAGGTTTAATTTTTTCCCCTACCCAACAGAAAGAACTTGAGTTTTCCATTGCTTCATTACGTGCTTAATGTGAACGTCACTATAATATACTGCTTTCATTTACTTATATTTGTGATCAAGTGCGGTCAATCATAGTTGATTCTATCCGAAGCATCCAACAATGTAACAATTTTGTTTTGTAAATTCCTGTAGCGTTTCATATCATTTAAAAATGTACTAAAGAATATTTTATTCAAACATTTACTTCGTGATGTAAGGAAATATGTTAAATGTCTTCTAAGTACAATATATTCACCTTGCCCTTCGGGCTCGGTGAATATTTTACTCCTCAGGTGGCTAAATCATCGTATTGACCTCAAAAACAGAAATAATTGTTCTATATATATATATATATATATATATATATATATATATATATATATATATATATATATATATATATATATATATATAAATCAACACCCCTTGTCAGATCAACATAGTCATATCATTATTTACTTCATATCTTGATGCCATGCCACAAATGCTGAATCTCCGCCCTCAGAACGCATTTCTGCGTCAGGATATTTACAGATGAATCTGGAATCCAACAGGATGATGTTTGGTCCTAAGATTTCTCTTATCGGCTTCAGTAGATTCGGGTGTGTGGCGACTTGTAACACCCACTGGTGCTTCACGTGGATGTTGTGGAATGAATATTGAGAAGACTTCTTTCCTATAATTGAACAGAGCACATTTAAGGGAAAAAAATCTAGGTCAGTGGATATGGTAGGATTTATTTAAATCATTCTTACAACAAAATTCACTAACTCAGTGAAAATTAAATTACACTTTGAAGACATGCATTGAGGGAATATCTCCAGTGACTATTAATATTATCACATGATAAGTAAATTGTATCGTATCTTATTGAATAAACTTGAATACTCTGACTTTTCTGTCACTTTATCTTTTACTTTTTCAAAATAAGATATGAAACAAATTTAAAAGAGAAATCGGGTTACCTGCTTCCCTTTCTAACTCATTAAAATTTTCTTGGAGTCGTTGAGTCTCAAATTTATCGAGGACGTCCACACAAGGAATGAAGCCATCCCGATCGTATAGTGAGAGGTAATCAACAGACATATTATCTGCTTAGTATGGTTACAAGACCTAGGCTGCACTTTCCTTCACTGAGGCTATCGCTTTTATATACTGTGGAGCCCACTATTGGAATATTCTCGTTGTTATAGTCATGAGGGTGATCACATTATTTTCTATCTGACAAGTGATTAATCCTTATCATCCAGGAAGAAGACCTTTTCCAGTTTCTCAGTCAATGGGAAAACCCAAGACCCTTATCGAATATTGAAAATATCCTTAGGTCCCTTTAGAGAATGGGAGGAGAATGGGGTAATTTAACCTTATTAACCATTATTAACCATCTTAATCTTATTATGGGTCGCTGTTTGTTTTCTGGCCACTGGTCAAGATTGAAATAGTTATGTTGATCACAATTTATATAATGAAACATACTTGTTACCTTTCTACGTACAAAGTAATGGCCCCAAGGATTCTGTTGCCACTACCCTTTCCAGAGGTTCGCCAACTAAATACTGACCCAGTTTTCTTCTGGCTGCCCTGGGTCGATTCTTACTTGTTTCACGCACAGTACAACCTCTTATATGTTTAATATGTTAAGATAATTGCCTTTTCCATTTTCTCTTGAATGTGGTAAATTCCATGACCTAAAATTGGTAGAAGCCATATGCAGTAACGAATACCTGCTAGTAACACTAGCCAACTCTTAGGCAACTGAACCACATTTATCTCGTCTAGATAGAAGACCATTCTTAGTGTAGGGTTTGAATCCTTTTGCAATACCTTATTAAGCTTGCGGTAGTTGATGTAAAATAGAATGCTTCCGTTTTTTAGTTACAAGTGCAATCGGTGCAGGCCAGACACTGGATGATGGTTCAATTATACTTGCAATGAGAATTTTTGTGGTTCTTTCCTTCCTGCTTCATTCTTGTGAAGGGATATTCGTCCAGGTTGTCCACGTTTTTGTTTAACTGGTCGTGAATCTCCTATGTCAATTTTGTGCAACAGAATACTGATCCTAGCTAGGTCAGTCTTTGATCTAGAGTACACATTAAGGCGTTTCTGCAGAGGTTTTAATGCTGGATCTTGGTCCCATAAAGTTTCAAATATGTATGATGCTTGTGTTTATATCTGGTTCATTGTTACTCATATTCTTGGTCAGCAATTCTTTTGCATTTGACTATAGATTAGCTGTAGTTTTAGAGGTGACTAAAGTTCGTACATTATTTGTTCTTGATCACTGACAATCATGAAACGAATTGATATTTTATCTTTAGGTTTCACTAGACAGCTGGCAACTAATAAATCTGATTACTACAGGTCATGTTTGTTCCATCCACGAGGAGTTCCTTAATTAAGTACCCTCTATACACTAAAGCAAAAAAAACTTTGAGAAAACTTATAGTGTGTAAAGATGTAAATGTTGAGCTTATCTCTCACATCTTCAACATAGGGTACTTTGCATTTACCCCCAGCAAAAATGTTCTAATACAATGAAGTACAGATGAAAAGAAATCACTGTTGTTTACTCAAATGGGAAAAATACCTGCGAATGAAGAGTTCAATCTATTCATCTTGACATATTAAAATGTTATGAATGTTTGAGATGATTACAAATTAAGTAATACATATTTCAATTTATTTTTATTCTAGATCAAAGAGCAGATTACTCTATTTGCATAAATATACCACAAAATCAGAACTCTTTAGTGTGATGTGTACAGAGGGCCCTTCAATTCAACTTTACCTTCAAATACCATATCTCACTTCTTGAGGGTATAGATAGTAAATATGGAAATTTTGAACACAAACTTTGTTTACTGATTAAGTCATATGGAAACCTTGTTTTTCCTTACTAAAGTGTAATTGACGGTTATGCTTTCTAAGAAAATAAAAGCCAAAATCATCCTGCTTCAATAGCAGTAATGACTACTCAAGTTCTATCATTTTCCCATTGATACAAATCTGAAGAACAGCCTAACCTTCTGGTTCCTCTAGATCACTAGTTATGATAGATTGGAGATAACTTAAATCTCACAATTATCTATTTGCTCATAACACTTCTCTATAAATGAATAACTGTGATCAACGAACCAGTGTCAATATTTGAATTATTTTTAATTTTACAAACAAACAATTGCTGAATATTATTTAATCCCGTTATTTCTAAAACACGTGTCCCTTTCTACCTTTACACCTCCGCTTATAATTCATCCAATAGAATCCATCGATCAAAAATGAGCACATTCTCTGGAATACAAAGATATTTTTACTAACTACAACAGGGTAAAGGAAAGAGCAAAGTGCATTCAAACTGCACTCGGGTTTTTCGGGTTAACCCGTCCATAAGCCTTGGTATTTTAAAGTAACGTGATTTTTGTCTTCTGCACTGATGAGAAAAACCAAATGATTTGAAACTGGCGTGTTTTTTTCACAGATAAAAAGTTGTTAGATTATAATATTATCCAAACTTATTCCTACATTTAAATTTCACTTCCTTTTTGCATAACGAGCTTAGGATAGAAATTTTATAGTTGAAAAATTTATTATCATAAGAATAATTAAAAATAAAAAGATTTTGTTCGAAAAAGAGTATAACGCTGGCAGATTGGAGCCCACCCCGAATAACCTTTTTTAAAAAGTGTGTAAAAGCAAGAAGATTTCATTTTTGAATGTCCTTTCTCACAAAAACAGGTATATTGACATCTACAATTACTGAAAAGAATTTATGAGTTATATTTTGACCTTATTGTAAGAAAATTCTACCACTAAGTGATACTAAACAATCACGGGATAAGTGGACAGGGATTAGAGTATGGATGTGAGCAAATGCCTTCCTTGTTTGCTAAAAATACCCTGGACGTAAGTTGATTTCGGAAATTTGTCACATGTCAGTTTTTATATAAAAACGACCGACAAACTAACTTTCGATTAGTCCTGTGAAAAACATCCAAGATGACGGTATGTAAAATTGTCCATTCATGCTAATTTTTTAAATCTCAAGTAACCGTGCCTAAAATGAAATGTTGATATTGCATTGATTTAAAAACAGAGCTGCACAACGCAGATTGGGAAATTGGTACAACAGTCATGCATTGGTTTCAAAGTTCTAAGAAGAGCTGTGCACCAACATGCCGAAGCACAAAGTAGGCCTCATTTCTATCTTATTTTCTGAAATTCAGATTTATTCTTCTTGGCATACAAAGATATGAATAAATCATGTAATTTTGTTTTACTACAATCGATAAGAAGCATAATTTCCGATTTTCTTTCATGGTTTACGAATGCTTGTGTTATTTATGCCTATCAAGGTGCCTTTTTAAGATTAAATCAATATGTCTTAAAAAAACTTTTTCATATATATATATATTAAATAATTTTTTAAAAAAAAAACTTTTTTCTGATATTATTTGCAATGGAAATCCATAGTTAAAAATATATTTTGCAATTAAAATCAGATAAACATTGATAAATGGGTCAAAAATGCTTAGGATGTGGTCCACATATTGTTTTACAAAGTAAACATTATTAAAACAAAAAATAAAAATTAAACTTCCAAAGACAATTTTCATTACCTCATAGTATCCGTATTTTGTGTTATAGGATGTTGAACTTTGTCTTTTCTTTTATCAAGAAACAGCACCAAGAAGCAATGCACGACAATTTCTGTCACATGAAATTATAAAACCTGATATACTGTATACGGAAACTATTTAAATATATACGGAAGTTATATACATATAAACGTATTGTCTCTCAATCTTATTTCTGTCTGTTAAACATTACATGTAATTTCCCTTTGTTACCTTGATTAAGTAAAAGTTTGAAAGTTGTTCATGTGTAGCATAATTTTTAACGATTTACCTTTTTTCAAACTTCTGAATCCGCCAATGATTTGTAAAGTTTTTAAATGCTTTTATTTTACTTTTAACATACATAATGGTTTCTGATGCAAGAATTTCTCAAATTTAAAGTTTATTTCCCATGATTACTTTGAAATATATTTAGGTGTTCTTTAAAGTCGTGTACTCTGACTGTAAACGTGTGTGACTTGTTTCACCGTTCTACGGTTTATATGTCCCTTTTAAACTTCTTGATTTTACTTGATAATGATACCCCGCAAATATCGGAAAACTTCCTTGTGTCTTAATGCACAAAATTTAAGTCTCTGGTACAAGGTGAACCGAATTGCTGTCTGTTTTTTCTATTCCACATAGCATCGATAATTGAACAGATATATCGATATTCTTTTGAATAAAATTCATTAAAGACCCTTAGCAAAATTTACACAAATGTCAGTTTAAATATGGAAAAAGTCAAATGTTGTCAATATTATCGCATTCTTTTTTGTTTTGTTTTTGTCTGTTGTTGACGATAAATGTAGGCAAATGTATCTTATATGTGAATTTACTCTTAAATGAGTTTTAATTTATTTTTAATTATTTTGTTTCTGACAGTACAAGTTCAAAGTGCTCGAGAGACTTCACTATCATCTTGGACAGCCCAACATGTCTCCAATTTTTCAACAAAACATCTTTCTGACCGCGTAAAATCTCGAAGTAAAAGAATGATTTTGGATATTCTCGGGGTTGGTCTGATTGGATCCACGACAGTTTTTTCCAGAGACATGCAGGAATTTGTAGAGGTAACAGACAGGATCAGCAGTAGCGAACCAGCGCTGATATGGGGCACAAACAACAGAAGAGCTTCACCAGCAATGGCGGCCTACATCAACGGATCGAACTGTCACTCGATGGATTTTGACGACACGTGGCATCCTGCTACTCACCCAAGTAGTCCCATTTTGCCGACTTTGCTTGCCTTGGCAGACTTTCTTCCTGAAAATTGCAAACCTTCGTTGGAAGACATTCTAGTGGCTTTCAACTGCGGGGTTCAAATCCAGGGAGTTTTACTGAGGTGTTCTTCCCAATCCAAAAATATTCCAAACAGGTTAATATTATTATTCATGTCTTTTTCTTTGTTATCAAAACTGCTCAATCATTAGCAGCACCAACCATTGATACTGCATGATTGAAAGATTTTAAAACAACTCATTCAGGTTTTATTCATTCTTTGTAAATTATTTCAGGCTACATCCACCAGCCATTGTAGGCGTTATGGGAAGCGCTGCTGCTTCAGCAAAACTTCTTGGTCTAGGTCCAAAGAAATGTCTTCATTCTCTCGCAATTGCCGCTTCATTCGCTGGAGCACCAATGGCTAATGCTGGAACGCTTACTAAACCGCTCCACGCTGGAAAATCAGCCCGAAGTGGGTTGGAGGCAGCCCTTCTAGCTGATAAGGACTTTGAGGGAAACAAAAATATTCTCGACATGGAATCGGGATTTGGAGCTTTCTTCTCAGACTACGATCCATGTTCCCTTTTACAAGAAGTACAGATGTCTGAAAATCTGATTCTTCATAATCAGGATATAGCCATTAAAAGTTACCCTTGTCATCTTGGGATGCACTGGGCGATTGATGCCTCACTTCAAGTCCGAAAGCAAATAACAGATTACTATGGAGAATTAGATGCAAGTTTTGTTAAATCTATAGAGATCTTTGCTCCCAAATCAAAATACATTAACAGACCTGTTCCAGCCACAGAACACGAAGCGAGGCATTCATTTCAATTCACAGCTTGTTCAGCTCTAATTGATGGACTTGTTTCCCCTGCAACATTTAAATTTCAAAATATTGAAGTGGAAAGAAAGAATCTGTATACTTTACTGCAGAAAACGACCATTATTAATCCAAGCGACAATATGCCTTGCTTTGATACCATGTATGTAGACGTTTTGGTTACACTGAAAAATGGCGAGAAATTTAGTGCTCGGTGCAGAGAGCCTTATGGACACTGGAGAAAGCCCATGAAAGACGCAGACGTGAAGAAGAAGTTTATGGAAAACTCTAGTCTCCTCCCTAAGTACCAACAGGAAAAAATTATTAAACTTGTTAGTCATATGTCTGCAAAGACTATGTCCAACGAACTCTCAAATTTACTGAGCTCGTAAAGACGGTTTCTCTTGCAGAGACAGATTATAATTTGGTTGTGAAAATTGTCTCTTGATGATCTAAGAGGCTTTTAAGTGAGCAATAAAATGATTGTTACTACTTTTTCGTCAACCACTCTCTACTTTCTTTCTTTCTTTTTATTATTATTATTATTATTATTATCTATTGTATAACATACAAAATCAAGTTAAATTAGCAGCAAAATTACAATGGATATTTAGCACTCACACACCCATTCATACATCCATTTGCCTTTTAAATTAATATGGAGGTTGCTTCATAGTAATCAGCTTATCAACAATTGTTTCTATCATAAACTAAATATCAAAAACTTGTCACATTATCTTACATCTGTTTAAAAATATTTTTCCACAAAATCCATTGTTCTTCAAAATAAAACAGTTTTGAGTTGGTAATAGACATACATCTTTCAATATTGTGTTTCATTTTCAAATAATTCAGTAAACCAGTAAATGAAGGTATTTTTGGTCGTAGTAAACATGAAAAAATATATTGTTTTGTATATAGTATCATAAAGTTTTCAATTCTGTTGTCCTTAGTAAGTGGTAATTCACCTAGGATAATATTTTTGACATTGAATCCAACTCTTTTTGAAATTGTTCTGTATATATATGTAAACTCAAGTTCCTCCATAAAGATACAATATGATCACAACTGACAAAAACATGCAGTAAAGTTTCAGTTTACTGAGCACAGAACTTACAAATGTCGGTAGATTTTATATTGATTTTCTTAAGATAAGAATCTACAGGGAGGATCCTATGTAGAATTCTATATTGTAGCCACTATACAGAAGAATCGGAGGTAGTCTTAAAACAAACCTTAAAAACATCTTTAATACAAATATCTGCCACTCCATAGGGAGATAAATCTTGATTCCACTTTGGAATTGCTGTAGGAATTATATCATTTTTGTTTATATAATTGTAAATTTTCTTTGTAATATACATGTATGATGTTTAATGCAATAAATTAAATAAAACTATTTTGCTTTAGTTATTTATAAAGTACGAATATCATGTGGGGGAAATAACCTTTCCTTTACATTTATTTTGGAATATTTAGTTTTGATATGAACTAAGACATGAATGAACGCAAATATTTATAATTCAGTCCTGAAGTGGTTGATGTCTATATCTATATAGGGAATGACGCTATTGCAAGCGTGTGAAACGAAGTATTTACACTAATCTTATGTTTTACCTTTATAGTCCTTTAAGTTAAATAAAGAAAATTACATGGCACCGAAGGTCAAAGGGTTGCTATTGGTCAAGGGTTGACATTAGCTATGATAAAAAATTAGACATGTTGATTTTATCCAACCATTCCTCACGATAAATCAAAGAGCAGTTTTTTGTCACAATTATTTAAACACTGAATTGTCTGATTTTTTCCACTTGCCCGATCATGACAATGAGAACACGGTGGGTGTGACAGGGGATGCTTACTCCTCCATGGCACCTCACCCTACCTCTGATGTTTTAGAGGACCTTGTTTGCTCTGCTCTGGATTTGTATCGTTTCAATGGATTATCGAACTTGATTACTGTTCGTTATCTTCATATTTCATGATAGAGAACTGCTTCCTCAATAAAAAATGGATCTCTCAAATTTTCATATCTTGGGTTTGGTCATCTACAATGTTACTTTGCTAAAATCATTTTCATTGTTTCATGGTGCTTCCAACAACATAACTTAGGATCGATAATACACTATTTTTACGTACTTTCTTTCACTTTATATAAATACTTAATAAGGATTTAACGAAAAGCAATATATATCAATGTCTTTCTGTATTTGCTAATACGGGGATGCTAGCAGTGAAGTAAAATTAGAAACAAATTGCATAACAAGTTTACGTTTAAAAGTAATTTAAACAATAAATGATTTCTTTGTTAGTATGGGAATTCATGTTGCATCTGTTGCAGAAAAATACAGAACCTGCGTGTAATGTAATTTGTTCTGCAATAGCCGCAACATTAATTCCTGTCGGTGTAAAGACGAATAATGAGCCGTGTAGAAAAAATGACCCACAGCCGTAGAAGAACGTATTTTTTTTTTGGTAGAAAAAGACCATTAAGGTCAATTTTCTACATGCTTTATCTATGAGAAATTAACCCTGTTGAAAAATGACCCTCATCCCGTCTGCCCCTTTCATGACAAGGAGCACAGCAGGTGTGACCGGTCGGCAGGAGATGCTTACTCCTGCATAGTACCTGATCCCCCTCTGATGTTTATAAGAGGTCCGTGTTTGCACTGCTCCCATGTAATATTCCAATGGATTATTGAGCCTGATTACTGATCGTATCCTCATATTTCACCTTATGTGTTTTGAGCAAACAATAAACATACATTATGAATACGATACAGTGGCTATTCCAACTGTTAATGGGGTGCGGTGTGGATCGAACACCCTTGACTTGCAAAGTTGCGTTCAAGTATAGATGAACGACCGTAAATCTTATAAGAAATAAAGAAGATCATAATATTCAGTGGATGTGATTTTTTCTACTATTAAATCGGATGGGGTTCTTTCCAAAATCGGAGAAGAGAGACTCACAAAAAAATATAGAACCAACAAAATGTTATTTTACAATTCAGTTCCAAAATATTGAAAGAGGACAAGGGATGTTTTGTTTTTTTCCAGATAGGTACATAAAACAATTTCACATCCTAAATTGGGAAGGACACACACAAATTTTAATGTACTGATTTGAACATTTATCAGGACTGTAACTATCCACAAATTTCAATCAAGATAGGGAATATCCACTATACTGGCTCCCAACTAGGAAGTGAAAGAAAAGTTTAACTATGATTCATAATGTTTACTGTTTCACTCACACAAAAGTACCTAGTTTCTTACATGGAATCTATCCGTAGGTAAAAGCTGACTCAGAGAAGGGGAACTCCGAATAAAAAAACACCGAAACATTGAAAGAATATCGTCGATTGGCCAACGGAGCTGAATACAGGGACGGAGCCAAAGAAAAGTAAAGGCCATGTTCAAACATACCTAATATGTGACTCTTCTTTGTGAAGCATCCTAAAATGTAATTTTGTGTATTTCGTTAAGTTTTCATGATTGCTTAACCTCTTTAATTTTAATTTTATTTGTTGTATTAAAGACCTTTCTAAATCCATATTAAGGATAAATGTTGATTATAGTCTGATTGGATTTTTTTTTAGAGAAAGAGGTATTCAATAGTTTTGTTCGTTCTTTATAATTAGATATTCTTACCCTTCTGATGAGAACAGAATGCATTTATAAAAATGGTAAATTGTCCGGGTATTACGAATTTTTGTTTTGTTTGTTTGAAATATGATTTACTGCAATAATATGGTTTACTGCAATACAGAGTTACAATAAATTCTCAAGTTACATCTCAACAGAGTTAAGAAATTATGTTGTACTATATATTTTTTGTTATATATCTATAGCACATGAAATGTTATTATATAAATTGTTTAAGCCAAATTTAGCTATGCTATGTTATTTAAAAAATCTTGTGTTTTTTTTTTTTGTTTTAGTTTTTTGTTTTGTTTTGTTTAGTTTTTTGTTAAAGGTACGTTGTAATACTTTGATTATAATGAATTTCCATTAAAAAAAGTGAAGAAAAAAACCCAAACGCTCTCTATCATATTGGAATAAAGTATGTGTGTCTGTGCTTTTATTAAAATAGAATGCGACATCATGGAATCATTGATTCTAAAAACTGTTGTAATTACCTTCTAGTTGAAGTGATACAACATTTAATTTATTTTAATCATAATAAGTATTTTATTATTGCGATTTCAAACTTATTATTAGCAAAATTATTAGCAAAATGAAGGAACCCAAAAAGAAGCAATTGTCAATTGATTGATAACAAATATCACGCCATTAGCTACCCGTGATACTTGCAATAAATAATTTCAGAATATAATCTTCACTGAACTCCTGATAACAGCGTACAAATTAAATATTTTTTCGTGAAATAGACAACCAAGATGTTAGGTGTTGTTATTTTGAGAAAAAAGGAGCAGTGCTCACGTAAAAAATAAAACTATTTTGGAGTCCTACTCTTATGTGTATGATATGAATTGGATCTTAAGAAAATTTTTACCAATCCTTCTTTTTTTGAAACCTTTTTGAAATTACAGTCAGTTACTCCCTAAAAAATGCCTGGGAGAGACAGTTGGCCTTAAGTTGCTACCTATATCTTCTCCATGCTAGAATCTTCCTTTTGGTCCCTTTAATTTTATATGCTTACTGTGCATCATATTACTGTTGTACTAATAATAAATTCGGAAAGTATTGTTAATCTTATTTCATTTTGACTTTAATTCAAATTATAAAATATAATTTAAATTATTTAAGGTCAAATTCAGAAAGAAAAATAATAATACATAACTCGAGATGCTAGGATTTTTTTTTTTTATCGAAACTGTACGATAGCCATTTTTTAAAATCGATCTCATTTTTGTTCGAGCATTAGTAATGTTATGTTTAGTTTGACATTTTTTATATATAGTTGTCAAGTTTTATATCGATCGAATAAGCTAATAAAGTTTATTATTGCTGTGCGTTTTGATCAAACATATGTATTGACAAAGAAATCAAATATTTAAGAACAGTTTTAAAAGTCTGTGTATATTATGCAGAGAATGCTAGTGATATCATTTAAAGGCGAATAAAATAACAGTGTTTAAACCTAGAGTAGGGTTTCCCCTCTAAAATCCCTCCTCCGGAAAGCTGGCTCTAGAGTAGGACCCCCCCCCCCCCGAAAACAGCTTCTAGAGTAGGATTTCCCCCACGAAAAAATGACTCTATAGTAGGATTTCCCCATACGGAAATCCCACACCAGATTCAATTTTTCGGGGGGAAATCCTACTCTGTGTAAGAGTTATAGAGTGCGATTACCCCCAGAGCTCAACCCCCCCCCCAGTAAAATATCATGGCTGTACTGTATGAGAGGGGACACATTGATATAAGTGTCCCTTCTTCAAACTAGCGACTAGTTCCATTTAAACATACGAAGTATGAACATTGAAAATCTCAT